GCACGTGGGTGATAGCATTGGACATAGACTACTGGTGAGAGAAGCACCTGGGTGATAGCATGGGGCATAACCTACTGGTGAGAGAAGCACCTAGGTGATAGCATGGGGCATAACCTACTGGTGAGAGAAGCACCTGGGTGATTGATAGCAGGGGGCACAGCCTACTGGTGAGAGAAGCACGTGGGTGATAGCATGGGGCATAGCCTACTGGTAAGAGAAGCATGTGGGTGATAGCATGGGGCATAGACTACTGGTGAGAGAAGCATGGGGGTGATAGCATTGGGCATAGCCTACTGGTAAGAGAAGCACGTGGGTGATAGCAACGTGCTTCTCTCACCAGTAGGCTATGCCCCATGCTATCACCCACGTGCTTCTCTCACCAGTAGTCTATGCCCCATGCTATCACCCACGTGCGTCTCTCACCAGTAGTCTATGCCCCAGGCTATAACCCACGTGCGTCTCTTACCAGTAGTCTATGCCCCATGCTATCACCCACATGCTTCTCTTACCAGTAGGCTGTGCCCCATGCTATCACCCAGGTGCTTCTCTCACCAGTAGGCTATGCCCCATGGGTGATAGCATGGGGCATAGACTACTGGTGAGAGACACACGTGGGTGATAGCATGGGGCATAGACTACTGGTGAGAGACGCACGTGGGTGATAGCATGAGGCATAGTCTACTGGTGAGAGAAACACGTGGGTGATAGCATGGGGCATAGACTACTGGTGAGAGAAGCACGTGGGTGATAGCATGGGTGATAGCATGGGTGATAGCATGGGGCATAGACTACTGGTGAGAGAAGCACGTGGGTGATAGCATGGGTGATAGCATGGGTGATAGCATTGGTCATTGGTGCCAGCTGCTTGTCACACAGTTACGATGTGGTACACTCTCCCAATACTGACCACATTCGCTATCGACCATTTGTTTCGATGAAGTCTGGTTTATAGAAGGGGCCTATTCCAGGCATGTGTTACATATCCCAGATGGTATTGGAACTTGTCCTGTTTAACGTGAGATTCGATTGAGGCATATAGAGTCATAGGTGCCAGCTGCTGGTTAACAGAGTTACAATTAGATGATGCGGTCAACTCTCCCGATACCGACCACCTTTGTTTGGGGTTCATTTAGTTCGGTTTTCTGTGATGTTCGGTTTATAGGCGGCCCATTCCAGGCATATCTTACATGTCTCAGATGGTGTTGGGACTTAGAAAATCTAGGACTTACTTGTACAATTTTAGAAACATGCTGGTAGATATTCAGTTACAAAACCAATTCGTGCGTGAAACGTGCCGTCGGTAAGTGTCAAACCATGGTTCGCACAGTCCTTGAAAAGTCCTTGAATTTGAAGGGAGTCCTTGAAAAGTACTTGAATTTAGTAAATGTTGATTTTGTGCTTGAAAAGTCCTTGAATTTCATGAAAATGTCCTTGAATTTCCGATAAAATGTCCTTGAAAAGTCCTTGGGAAAATTTTCAGTCCTGTATTAACCATGCAAACGCACCCGACTACAAACACGTTGCATGCTACCTGCTTGTTATTCTTGTTCTCGTAACGACTGCTGTAACAGATGTGGCTAATGACGTGTTTGTTTTTGTCACCGTAGGTGCTACGCGGGGACTACGATGCGTGCGAGAGAGTCATGGAGAAGGCAGCTCGCGGTATGTCGCCAGGGTGCGAAATTAACGGGAGTCCGGAGTCAAATACTCCCTGATTTGCTGTCGGACTTCCTGATTTGACATATGCTGGAGTCCGTGTGACTCCCTGAAAATTGTGCCATACCATAATTACCGTATTTTTTCAGCTAATGTCCAAAGAAAATTGGGCAGACGTGAAACCGCAGGAATCTTAAAAATGAGCACATGCGTTATTGTTAATATCTTTAATTTTGAACTTTAGACTGCGGACTCTCTCTTTTTGAGGGTAGGGAGTTCGTTGGACTCCCGTGTTTAACCCTGGTTGTGATTAACTGTTAGTGGGACGTCTACTATTACCCGGTCGTGAAGCGTCCCGGGTTCGATAGCGTGAACGTCGTTAGTGGAATTTACAATTAGCGCTCATATGGACCGGTGTTATCTCTCTCGCAGTCGGTTTCTAGTGTCACGTGTACCGTCACTTGAAACCGCGTCGGGAAGATTTCGTCTGTGTCTGATCTGTGGTGATAATATTTCATTGTGTGTTTGTAACAGATGGACGATTCACTCACTTTATCAGTCAACAGGACTACAAAGCAAAATGGACGCCCATCACTGCGGTCACCCACAACGGTACGTGCCCGCGTCACGTGTCAGTGTGCGCGGGCGCATCATACGTCTGGTAAAAGTCTCGCGATCACGCGTTGGCCCGTATCGTACGAATGCTGCGGAAATCTTTGAATTTTTTCGAATCGAGAATTCAGAAGTCTGAATTTTACTAGATGTTTCGTAATTTTCATTGGTTTTCGCGTTTCGCTGTCCGCAGATGGCACTGACTACAAGCCTGGTATGAGGGGAGGTCACCAGATGGTTATTGATGTCTACACAGGTATGGTTTGCCATTCAGATCTCTAGCACGATGTAGAATCTGTTCTGTCATCAGTATTGGAAATAGCAGCTTATACCCTAGTCCGGTGCTGGTAACCTGCATGGGCCTGGCTTTCACTATAGGAATTATAGCCTATTTCCTGCAGACTTTCGCGTATATTAATTTTGACGGATTTCTATAAAAGAAGTCGAAATCTTTCGAAATCCGGAACCGGTAAGGTTTCCGCAATTATTTCCCGAGAACGCACTCGCGCGCTCGTGGATTTGGCCGAGTCGTGGCGTCTGTCGATCCGCTCGCGCGACGTTCAGGGTATTAGCCAGGAATGAGTATTGTGGGAGTACAGAAAAAATATTTGGGAGTGCAATTTTTTTGTACGTGTGTCTCAGCTGTCAGCCAAGACTGCCGTAGGTTGTGCTACACATTTTTGGCCATGCAGTTTCAAAACTGACCGTGCAAATCACGGCTGCACGGCTCGCTGGCTAAAACGTTGGCGAGTTTGTAATTTTTATCCCGTTGCGCGTCTGTTACAGAGACGATCTATTTGTTCGGAGGCTGGGACGGCACGCAGGACCTCGCCGACTTCTGGTCGTTTCAAATCTCGTCCGGCGAGTGGACCTGCCTGTCGTTCAACACCGAGTCGGAGGTGAGGGAGACGACGTTTTTTTACGCAATCGGGGCGAGTTTTGTGTGCGCCTGCCAGCGACGAGGCATGCGGACTGAGAAAGCAAGAGGTGTGGTTGTCGGTAGTGGAGGCCGCTGCGAGATATGCGTTGTACGATAAAACCCGTATGAAAACGTCACTCGCAGGGAAACACAAAGTGTTCTTTATAAACAGGTGACCGTTCCGTAGAGCCGGTGTCACTGTGTAACTGCCTATAGATAGAAACCCGGAATGTGTTCTTTATAAACAGGTGACCGTTCCGTAGAGCCGGTGTCACTGTGTAACTGCCTATAGATAGAAACCCGGAATGTGTTCTTTATAAACAGGTGACTGTTGCGTAGAGCCGGTGTCACTGTGTAACTGCCTATAGATAGAAACCCGGAATGTGTCATTTATAAACAGGTGACCGTTCCGTAGAGACGTTGTCACCGTGTAACTGCCTCTCGCAGGGAATACTAGAGTTGCGGGTTGTGTGCAGGCAATTGTTGGTACATTGAACACAGGTTTGTACTTTTACTACGTGTGCACTTTTGCTTGCTATTCAGGGGGGCCCGAGCGCGCGATCCTGCCACAAGATGTGCCTGGACTGCGAGCGGAGACGAATCTTCGTGCTGGGCCGGTACCTGGAGTCGTCGATGCGAACGGGAGCCAATCTGAAAGTGAGCTTTCGCGACGACACCGCCGGCCCCCGCTAGATCGAGCGTGCAGATGGTCGCTCGCCGGCGAAAAAGATTCGCGGCGGTGGCGCTTTAGAATAGGTGTCCGAAGACTAAAATCTTGAATAAATAGTGTGTGTACGCGACAGGTGGGTTTTCGACTTCGCAAAGGTGCAGCGCGTGCATTCGGCAGTGTGAGTCATGGGCAGATGGGGGAGGAGAGCAAAGGCTAGGTGCCTTGGAGGAGATGAAAGGAGATGAGCATGCTGACGGAGAAGGAGAATAATAGGCTCAAAATAGACAGGAAAGGGTGAGAGGGCACACTCACCCCTCAAATAGGCTAATGTAGGACGAGGAGAGGAAGGGACGGGGGCACTTGTCCGGGGACCGCTCGCGTCGCGCTAGACTGACGCCGCCGCCTCGCGCTTTTCGCAGAGCGACTTCTACATGTACGACATCGACTCGAACAAGTGGACGCTCGTGACGGACGACACGGCGTCGCTTGGCGGGCCGCGGCTCATCTTCGACCACCAGATCGTCATGGACGCCGAACGACAGATGATCTACGTGTTCGGCGGCCGCATCCTGACGAGGTGAGAGCGCGCTGTTGCTGACAGATGATCTACGTGTTCGGCGGCCGCATCCTGACGAGGTGAGAGCGCGCTGTTGCGGAAACTCACTCAATATCCATCGACAACACATACGTAGAAATATTGTGAATAAGTGATTACGTCACCGTAAATTTTTTCACTTTTTATGGTTAAATTGCTGCATTATATTTCTTATTTTACTATATTGTTCGATGTGAACAAACACTCGTGACTCATACATAGCCCATAGCAAGCAATTAATGTCGGGAACACAATATCAAATCGTCCAGGTTTTTTGGATTTTTAACTAGTTGAGAAACAATCTTATCAGGTAAGAATTTGACGATACGTTTAGTCCCGTTAGTTCTTACTTTTAATGTAAAAAAAATGGCAAGAAAAATTTTACACATTTTACCATAGAAAATTTGCGACGTAGTCAATTTAACGTATTGTATTTATTTCGATATATCACTCGTACACTCGGAAATATCATTCGTGCTTCTGACTTCTTCACACTCTGTTTCCGCTCTCCTTTCCCTCGCGCTCCCCGTACCGCTCTCTCACGATCTCTAGGCCCCCCACACGTCATCACATTCCATCTGGCGCTGCTGTGCCGAACAGAGTCTTAGATACAATTTCTTACATACATACACGGTCTACATATTCGGGGTGAGTGGAAAAATTACACGGAGGCGGCGCGCGAAATCGCCCCCCACCCCGAAGTTCCCGAAAAAAGCTCCCGAAAATGTGATAACGGGGGCGACAGTTAAAAAGAAAACGGTTCGAAATTCGCCCTCGTAATCGCACGCCTCGAAGTCAATGCATTGCCACTGGTTACACTGGCCAGCCGCAGCTGCAAGCAATGCCTGAGCTAGTGTCTCGGCTCCAGCGCAGTTGCAATGTAGCGATTGTGTACGCGTGACTTGCCAGCCGTTTGCGATCGCATGCACATATATATGCAGAAGACTATAATTATATTTTTACGCGTAAAGTTCTCTCGTACAAGAGACCCAAACTACCTTACATAGCATGTAGTTACGTACCATACCCGGACACCGCATCACACCAAATTGCAGTGGTCACAAAAAGCCCCGGAAAAGAGTAGCCCCCGAAGTGGGAAAAATAGCCCCGGAAAATACAATTAAAGTAGCCACCGATATTTTTTAAGGAGTTGGAAAAAGAGCCCCGGAAATAAAAATAAAAAATTTTCACGCTCGGGGTCGGCCGTTGACTCGACGAGACAGGTCGGTGGGTCGTCAGGTCGTCGTCGTTGTCGGCTGTACACTCGACGGGTCGTTTTCTGTGATGGAAGCGTTTGAGTGTACAGAAAACGAACGACGGCTGAGGGAACGATCATGCAGTCAAACCTGTGTTCGCGCACGTGTACAAACCTTCGTACGCGCACGTGCACAAACCTTCGTCCGCGCACGTGCACAAACCTGTGTTCGCGCACGTGCACAAACCTTCGTCCGCGCACGTGCACAA